CTCTAAGGTGCATTCAGCATGGCAAAGCAGGGCCTCATCCTGGTTTCTGTTTCCCTCTCCAGCCCCACTTTACTCCCTTCCCAAAGCCATCTGCTCTATTTATAGCTCTGGAGGACGATGTGTTTCCCTAGCTTCTGTGCTTTTGTCACATCATTCCTTGTTACTAAAGGTCGTCCAAAAGATCTGTCTTTTCTTGGATCTTACTTTCTGGAGATCACTCCTATCTTCGGAGATATGAGAACCCATTTCCTTCCACAGGGGATTTAACCGTCTGAGCACGAGTCGCTCCCAGCGCCTGTGCCTGCCATAGAACTGACGGCTGAGAGCTGCAGAGGCAGAGGAGCGTGTGTCATCCATAAAGCTTAGAACCCACAGCGAGGTCCAGCCAGAGCCCATGCTCAGTGGACATTACTGAAGAAGCATCACTCTTGCTGTGGTGGGGGTTAGAGTGGAGGCTGAAGTCCTGGCTGAACTGCTCTTTTACGGGGCCCAGCCATAAGCATCCTCTTTGGGGGTAATTCCCTCACCTAATAGTTAGCTGTCCTGCAGCCCTGTCCCTACTCCTGTCTGAGCACAAGTGATGGCACTGAGCAATCCCATCCCCCTGCTGGCTTGTCAGGGAACCATTACTTGTGGGGCCAGACAAGAAAGGATGAGCTGGGAAAGTGATTCTCTCCTGAGATCTGGGAAATGGGAAACACACTGAAGTAATCACTTCAGTTAATCACAGCACAGGAGCACAGGTTAAAAGGATGCATGGCGAACTCTCAAGAAATAGACTGCAGGATTTGCACAGTGGCCAGGGCACACTGTTCCCATTGGGCACAGGCTTCACCGGTCCCCGAGGCTTACACCTGGTCAGTTACAGTACCTCGGTTCCCACCTCCGCTGGTCCCTGCAGCAGCTCTATACCTGTGTGTAGAAGGGACAAATAGGTCCACCTGGTCCCAGAAGCCCTACAGGCAGAGGTAACTAGGAGAGGGAGTGGGAGCAGCACGGAGAGGGAGGACACAGACTCTGGGAGAGGAAGACTCATTCCTAGAGGCCCGTGGGGTGCAGTGTCTGCCCACAGTCATCCTTACCATAAGCCTTTCCCTGAGGTCAGCTGCGAGGTAATTAGACTGGGAACTTAAGAGGAGTTATAGCAAGGACAAAAGCAAGACAGTGCTATGGCTGGTACACCACACTCAATCAAGAGAGAGTTCTTCCTTTTTAGCAGATTTTATTGGTACATTTTAGATTTCCATAATGATCACATTCATCATAGAGAATTCGTGTGTACACATGATTTAACTTGCTGTTCTCCCATTTCCCTACCCGCTCTTCAACCTCTCTTCTCCTCCCCATTTATAAAAGCTTTGTTTCTATTTTTTCCTTCTTTTCTCACTTTTTTAAAAAAAATTTCCCTTCTTTCCTTACAAGGGGAAATTCTTGCATGAGGATTCTAAGTGCTGGGAATTAGGCTTTTGCTATGTACCCTACCCCCAAAACAACCTCTGCTCAAAAGGCTTCTCAGAGCTGGGCATTGCAGTGCACACCTGTAATCTCAGTTACTCAGGAGGCTGAAGCAGGAGGTGCAAGTTTGAGGCCAGCTTGAACCACTTCTTAGCAAGAACCACCGCCCCCCCCCCCCACATAAAAAAAAAAAAATCTTCAGAATCCTATTCTGGAAAGGTTACTGGTATCCAGGTTTCCAGAGGGTTTGGAGGGAGGGATAGGGAAGTCTAAGAATAAATTTGAGAGAGATTTAAGGTTGGATAATTTATATCCTGTTAGATTGTAGAGTGGGCCTGGCGACTAACATTTACTGTGTTTTGAAGAGACATCTGCATTTCAGCAAAAGGAGGAGGATTCCAGAGGAGGTGGTATTGGAGCTGTGTTTTAATAAGGGAGCCAGGGGTGAGGGTGTATGCCTGTAATTCCAGAACTCTGGGAGGCTGAGGCAGAAGGATCAAAATTTGGGCCTAGTGTGGACAATTTAGCCACTTTGTGAGACCTTATCTCAATCAATCAATCAATCAATCAATCAATATAAAATAAAGTAAAATTGAAAAAAGGCTTGTGATGTAGCTCAGCATTCAATTCCCAGAATGAGAAACAGATGGACATAGAGACAAACAGACTGTGTGAAGCCATAATCATAAAGGCAGAATTCTCAGAGGGAGGGCAGGCAGTTTTTAGTCAGTGTTCTGGGGTCTGTGTTTGGCCTGAGTCACCCTTCAAGTTGCTTTATGTCTTGGAGTTTCTTTCTTTTTTTTTTTGGTGCTGGGGATTGAACTCATGAATTTGTGTTTGCCAAACAGGCACTTATGCACTGAACTAAAGGAGTTTCCATTATTATAAAATGAAGGTAATAATAGTGTTTTCTGCATTCTAAGATCTATGATTCCCACCCACCCCGCTTTTAATTTTTTGGAGAAGTGATACTAGAGCCAGGATCTAGGGACGCTCCACCACTGAGCTATATTCCCAGTTCTTTTTATTTTTTTAGCCTGACACAGGGTCTTGCTAAATTGCCCAGGCTACTTCAGGCTGCCTCAGCCTCAATTATCCAGAGTAGCTGGTATTACAGGTGTGAACCACCACACCCAGCTTACTGTTTCTTAACTCAGGACATATTTTACAGTTGACACCTCAAAACACTGGTTTTATCATAGATCAGAGGAGAAAGACTGTGACAGTATTTAACCGGACATATGCAAATTTAGCCACCCACAGGAACAAAAAAGGTGTTTATTTGACAGATACAGCCAACTTGGTAAATTTGATAAAGAAGTCATAATGCTAGAAGAAGTTAGCTTGAGCAGCAGATGTGTCTGAGGACAGTGAGCATCAGTCCATGCTTATATTGCTTGATCAATTTTGCATATTTATATCTATTTTGAAGATAGCAATATGCAATATGATAACCATTGTTAATTTGGTATCATTTTGAAATTCTGTATCATATTTATTGTTTTAAAAATTTTTTTTCTTTTTTCTTTTTTCTGGATCTTTACTTCGTAAAAAATTCTTTTAAAATAAAAAAAAATTAAAACAATCCATGGTTTCTAGTTATCAAGAGAAGCCGTTTAGACTATAATCATATGAAATTCAATTTAAAAAAATGAAACAAAGTGTATAACCAAAGGAGAAACATATACAATGCACGTGTATCTTTGAAATGTTTCAACAATATACTGCTACTTTGTAAAGGTGCTGAAGAGATCCAGATATAACCATAGGCTATAAAATCTGTATGCTGACATGCTATCTTCAGCACATGGTCAAAGGTTATATTAATTTCCTTGGAGTTAGTGAAGGGGAATGGACTTAGACTTCACTTTGATGATGGCCCTGAAGCAGAAAACTGTTCAATTATAACAACCAACATTTATTGAACGATAACTGCGTAGCACTGTGTCATCAGGGCAATTTTATCAGCTCAGTGGTGTTATCTTCATTTTAAAGTGACAAAGCTAAGAGGTAAATTCAGGAAGTTTGCCTCAGATTCTTACACAGAGACACTGTACAGCTAGAACACTCTGATTATGGACATCTATGCTTTTATAGTTGGTTTTAGACAGGTTTGATGGTCCTGTAATCTCTGTACTCTGAAAGGTCGAGGCAGGAGGATCCTAAATTGGAATCCAGCTTAGGAAGCTTAAGAGATTTATCAAAACCTTGTCTCAAAAAATTTTTTTTCAAAAAACTCTAAAACTATAAGGTATTTGTACATTTTCCAATCAATAGTATCTTAAAATCAAGAAGTACGGTAAAAATCTGCCATGTAGGATTAATGTGAGGATCGGGTGATGAACATCTTTTTGTTTTTGTGAGAACTCACTGTGTATCCCAGGCTGGCCTCAAACTCAGCGATCCTCCTGCCTCAGCCTTCCCACTGGTGGTGGAAAGGGACACCATACCCAGCAGGTGATGAATATCTTAAAGTGCATCTAGAAGAACTGTATTTAAGAGGAGGAAGTTGTTGCAAAGTGGTCTTCACAATCCTACCAGCGTAGAACAAGCAAACACTGCTGTCAGCAAAGCATCAGGAGACGTCTTCTACAGTTTGGACAGCAGTTCCTCCTCATGAAACGCCCTCATTCCTGGTCTGCATGCTTCTATCTTTGCATGCTCATCCCAAACTCCAGCCCTCTCAGGAAGTGGTCTCTAGCACCTGAAAAGACACACGTGGGAGTAATTTCCAAGATAGCAATGGAATCAACCAGTGAAAGATGGATTTTTATCGCTAAAGTTGCTCTGGTTCCTTTCCTGGCCTCTGTTTCTCTAAACTGAAAGGAAGCTGGGCATTTACCCTATTTCTTCCACTTATAATTTCTGCCACTGTCCCCTAGATCTTTTGTCCGAGCCGCTTTCAGGAGCAAGTTCGGTCCCCAGCCCTACAGGAGGGAAGCCCCCTCCGCGCGGTCGACCGGTAGGGCGGGGTCTCCGCGGGAAGCGCCGCGAGGGTCACGTGACTTCCTTCCCCAGGCGCCTGCGCTGCCGGCCTCCCAGCAACCGGCACGTCCCGCCTAACAACGCCCGTGCATCCCCGTTGGCGGGCGGAGGCGGTCGTAGCAAGGCGGCGCCCACGGTCCCACTGCTCATTGGCTTGCGCTGTTGTCGCTCAGGCGCGTTGCCCAGCGCCTGCAGGCGGTGCTCCGGAAGCCTCTCCCCCGGCCGCCGAGTTCCTGGCTGGGTGGCGGCGGCTGTCACTCCCGGGCCGTTTCCCTTAGGTCCGCGCTCTGCTGGGGGCGGGAGGAAGAGGGGCCGGGCCGGGCCTGAGGAGGCGTCGCTGTCTTCGCGGCTGCTATGACCGGCGGGCGCTGCGCCCTCCACAGCCCCGCGCAGCGCTAGTCGCGGCCGAGCGCCCCTCCGGAAGCCGCCAGGGTCTCCAGCGCGGCCGGTCCCGCGGCCCCTCGGCTCTCCCGGCGCCGCCCGAGGCGAAGCGAGGCGAGGCGGGAGATGAAGATGACGGTGGATTTCGAGGAGTGTCTGAAGGACTCGCCCCGCTTCAGGTAGTCGGCCCGGGAAGCAGGCGAAGTGGGGGAAGCCGGGGACCCAGGGCCGCGGTCCGCGCTTCCGACGGGACGGGCTCCCGGCTGCCGCGTCCCTGGAGGCCCCCACTCGGGGTGCCCGCTCCTCGCCCACCCGCGTCCCCGACCTCGCCCCCGCCGGGCGCACGTCCTCGCCCCTTCCTCCTCGCAGCTTCCTCCCGGCCTTCCGCTCCCTTGACGTCCACCCACCGCCCCTCTCGGAGGCGCTCTCCGCGCATCCTCCCGCCGTGCGCTCAGTTCCTCTTTTGCGCCTTCCGTTGTTGCCCTGGAAGAAGGGGCCGGGGGCGAGCCGGGACGCCCACTTAGGTTGCCTGCGGTCCCTGCTCTGCAGGGCCGCGCAGGAGGCGGCGAGGGCCCGGGATCTGCACTGGAGCCCGGGGCGGGGCGCTTGGATGGGCGCCTGCGTCCGACCCTGCTCCCTGAGTTTGCTTTCCACGGAAGTTCTTGGAAGAGGCAGAGGCTGTCCTGGGTGCTAGAGGATGAAAACTGAGAGAAACAGTGCGGGTCTGTTTTGAGGACGGAAGTAGGCGGGCCCCGAGGATTGCATTTGTGTCCCTCTTACAGTAGCCTTGACCCCGAAGGGCCCTGGATGCCAGTCGGATGTTCCCAAGGGATCTGTCACACAAACTGAGGGGTGGCACCCCAACTCACAGGGGCTGCCCTCTCTTCCATGGGACAGGCAGCAGTCCTGAGAGGGCCCACAGGATTTATGTCCATTTACCCTCGAGCATCGTAGGAAATCTTGTTTTGGAGAATGGGGTTTTTGAGGTTGTGTTTTGCAGTGTTATTTGCAGGGCTGGCTATTGGTCTTAACAAATAGGGCTCTGGTACTTCCGTTAGATACTGACATTTCTTGAAAGCGTCCTCTCAGCATTGTGTATGTGTGTATATGTGTGTGCGCGCACACACACACAGACACACGCATCCACTGATCTCCCTGCCAACACTGCACTGTGAATTCTTGTATCCTCTATCTGGGAACTAACTGTTCTCATGTGTATCCTTGTTACCTTGATTCCCACGCGCCCCCCAGCCTCTTTTTGGAGACAGGGTCTCACTGTGCCATTCAGGCTGGCGTTGAGCTTATTTTGTAGTCTAGGCTGGTCTCGAACTCGCAGGGATCCTTCTGCCTCAGCCTCTCAGGTGCTGAGATTATAGGCATGCGTCACCATGCGCGGCGCCCCCTCACTTTTTGCTAAAAAGCAACGAAAACAAGTGTACAGTGAAGGCTCTTCTAATTCTTAGAATTTAAGAACACATTGACCTTTGATAGGTTGGAATTTAGGGCTGTTGCTTATTTTTTAAAAAGTGCACTTGGTTTGCTTTTGTTGTCATTAGAATTTGAAACTTCTGTTACATGTGAATTGGAGGACTCACGCACTAATGGATTGTCTAGGACAGTCTTGCACATTTCCAAGATGGGGCGATAAATGAAATAATTTTAAAAGGATACCTTAGAAAGTTCTGGTTTTTGCGTAATTTTTATTTATGTGACTCAGCTGTTTAGTTTGTAGTGCTGAGGGTCGAACCCAGAGCCTCGCAAGTCCCAGCTGTATGTTTTTAAGTGAGATAATCACAACCTTTTTCTCTGTAGAGGAGAAGTAGTCTTCTGCAGCCTTTGTTTCACATTATAAATTTGATTTTAAAAACAAGTTCCAATCCACAAGTGATTGGAAAATATTTCTTACCAATTGCTGTTGCAGACAAACCATGCAATGCCTTTTGTTTTTTAGACAGAATCTCACTTGGTAGTTTAGGCTGGCCTTGAAATCACTATGTGGCCCTGGCTGACCTTAAAGTCTCCAGGATCTCACTGCCTCAGCCTCCTAAGTGCTAGGATTACAGACATGCTCCGCCTTGCTGGGTGCCTTGGTTTTTAAAATAAAGCAAGAGGGAGGATACTAATTAAGTTGTGTGATGTGGTATAGTCAAATTTTAACTGAAGTCAAATGTCTATTCAGCTGTAGCTAAGAGATTTTTAGTTGTTTCCTGTATTGCAATTATTGTCAGCTGCAAATTGGAATGATTTCAAGAACTTTTACATGTTACATACATTTTTGGATTTGCAATAGAGGGAAAAATGCCGAGAAATGAAAGTTTCATTATTCACATTCCCGATATTTATAGTTTTTCCATCATCCCACTACTGTGTAGATTTGTGTGCCATTTAAATAAAGTATCTCATAAGTTCTTGTTCAATACTGTTGATTATAGAAGGAACTGGATTTGAGAGTAGAATATGACTGAGAAGTGATGCATTGAAACTAATATCAAAATAGAAACTTTGTGAGGATCTTGTTTTTAATAGTAAAAAGCTGCACTCATGTCTTGATCTATTGTGTTGTCCTTACACTGATTTCTGATTTCATTTTTGTTCATGAGTGAGTCTTGTGGCTTTTAAATCTGCTATGTGGGTACCATAGAATTAATGCAAAAGGCACATCTTGCTGAAAAAAATTTCACCACAGTTCAAGTTTCAAAATACTCATTTTCTTGTTAGATTGGTGAGAAAATAAGGACACTGGTTGAAATGGGAAACCATGTTGCAGTTGTAACATTGTCTTTAGTAATTTGTATAGATTTAGTTGGTCACTTTTGCATTCCAGTAAATGTTACTTTTGATTTTGTTTTGGATTGGAGGGCACATTTCTTTGTGTAATTTTGGGTTTCCTTTTTAAACACCAGGCTAAAGGTCAAAATCTTGTTCATCTAAAAACTTACAAGAATGTAAATGTGTCTTTAAGTGTTCTGTGTTTATGTGTGTGTGTGGCTGTAGGTAACTTGTATTTTTGACTGATATTTGTTTGACTGATATTTGTTGGAGGAGTTTGAATTTATTTGGGGTATTAAGTTGTATGTAGTGAACCAGGAAGTGAATTTTATTTGAAATAAAAATTGAATAAAATTTCTCCTAATCATGAAAGATATTTGACCTGAGCAATATTCAACCATAAAGATACACATCTTAGTAAGCTTGCAGACACCTAATGTATGTATGTGTAGGGATTCAACCAAGAGCCTTCATACTAAGCTACATCTCCAGCTCTTTATTTTTAGAGGTCTTGTTAAGTTACTAAAATTGCCTATGCTTATCCCAAACTTGTGATCCTGCCTCAGCCTTCCAGAATACTGTAATTGTACCACGTATCACCGCATCTGCCTTGATATTTTTTATTTTTTAAAAGCATTTTTAATTAATTAATTTATTTTTTTGACTCAGGAGCTCATTATGTAGTTCAGACTGGCCTTCAACTCACTGAATAGCCCAGGCTGGCCTCAAACTTAGAGTGACCTCCTGCCTCAGCCTTCCATGTGCTGGGATTGCAGGTGTATACCATCATGCCTGGCTCAGTGTATTTAGCTTTTGTCCTTTGATTTCATTTCATTTCTGTTCTGTTCTCTAGGACTGGAAATGTAGTTCAGTGAGAGAGTGCTCACCTCGCATGTGTAAAGCCCTGGGATCAATCTCCAGTACCAGGGTTGAGATGGACACCAAACCAAACACATCCAAAAACTAAAATAGTACCCCACTATTGAGGTACAAAAACATAGCAGAACAGTTTAGTTGAAGAAAAGGCAGGGAATGGACTGTGGGCACTATGATGATTACTGTCAGAATTTATCTGTGTATATATTAGGAGTCCTTTTGGATACAATGAGCAGACCCAAGGAAAATGATGAGATTAACCAGTTTGATTTTTATAGTTTTGCTGTATATGTTTATGTTTATTAAGGAACAAAAAATGAGAAACTTTTGCTCTTGATTTTTTTTTTTAAATTTTGTAATAGCTTTTAACTTATGGGTTTGTGGTTTTATTTTGCTTTTAATTTTATGTGCTTTTTTTTTTTTTTTTCCCTGAGACAGGCTCACACTTAGGTAGTTTAGGTAGATCTTGAGCTCACTATGAAGTCTAGGCTGGCCTCAAACTCACAGCAATCCTCCTACCTCAACTGGGATTACAGGTGTATACCACTATGCCTGGCTTAGTTTTTGCTTTTTAGGAAGCTTTATAGATAAGTTTAAAATTCATTCTTTTGGATTTTTGGTTCAGACTATTTAAGATAGTAATAGCAAGGACACTAGATTTTAAAGATTATTTTCAGGTCAGTAGTTTTTATGAATAAGACAAATTAGGACACTTTCCAGTGTCCATTGAATTGAAGACTTTGTTTGGTTCTTGGTAGGGTTTGTCTGCTGGCTAAGAGACATCTTTATTTTTGTGTAAAATACCTTTGTTTCTTTGATGTTTGAAGGCTATTCTAAGATATAGAGTACTAGATTAGCTTTTTTCTTTTCTTTTTTAGTTTAACTTTTTTAAAACAAAAAGGAATGAAAAGTATGATACAGAATTTAAAAAAATAGATTAACAATGGTTAATACATTGTGAATTGTTATCTTCAAATTAGTTGTTCAGATTACAAGATATAGTCATAAAAATGATCAATCAGTGAAAGCACAAATCATTCTTTTTGATGAACTAACAGATTAGTAGTACAGTTATCTATCCTGTAATGTAATTTTTTCCCTTCATTCCCCTATCCCAGTTGTTCTATGATTTGAGCAGTTTCTTTCTCTTTCACTTTCTCAGTATCTGTTGTACATTTTGGATCTTTTTTATTTTGGTAATGAGGATTAAACTCATGACTTCAGGCCTGCCAGGCAGACGCTTAGGCCACTGAGCCAAATTCCCAGCCCCATCTTTTGGATCTTATTTATAATACTCTTTCAGTTTTTTACACTAGGGAGACAATGTATTTATATATGTGAGCTGCTTTATTTCATTTATCAGTGTGGTTTCTAGTTATGTCTATTTACCTATAAAAACCTTGAGTTTATCCTTCTTTATAGCTCATTAGTACTTCATAGTTTATAGTTTAAAAACATAAACATAGCTCATAGTTTAAAAATACTATATCTTTTTTATCCATTCCTTGGTTGATGAGCATTTGGGTTGTTTCCA